ACGGGGAACAGGGATTTGAAATCCCAGTTAGAGCGCTAGACTGATTGCATCGTCACTATTCCCTTGCTTGTTGTTTCGGATCTCTAGAGATCCAGGTACTACAAGCTTTACAGGGTCGACATGATTCCGAATCACCGGGGAGGGAACTCCGTTGATTGTCACCCCCTTAAGGTTCGTTTAAATAGCATATTTTAAGTATTCCAACAAAGGAAAAGTTAGCCGGTGCTCAGCAAAATACTCTCCTCTGAAAACTAATTTGAGTTTAACGTATTGGTTAGCTGAATTTAGCTGAATGTCTCTTCCGGGGTATTCTTAAACTGAATATGCTGCACAATGGCTGTCATATTTTTCAGTCACCACAAAGTTCAAGATATTGCACTATTTTTTATTGATGGCACAATACTCACAAGGTTGCTGAAAACTCTTCGAAAACCCATGGCTGGTTTCGCCCTTGTTAGGGTTTATCAGGTGGGCGCAATCTTCAGGTTCTTGTCAATCTGACGCTTTCCTTGGCCACACTTTTTAAGTCATTCACGTAGAGCAGTCATTCGCATGCTAATTTGGTTTTAGCAGGAGAGTCAACTGAACCTATCTTTATGATACTATTCTGCCATCAAGTTTTTTGGCGCTCTGAGTGGCTACTTGTGACTGTGTTAAAAGCTGAACTATCCTTGTCATTGCTTGGGTTATGAAAGGGCTTGTGTTTAGGCCTAGCGCGGCCGAGAAGTAGATGACTGGACGTCCTGGCTCGGACCAACAACGGCAAACAATCCTACCAGAAAGCTAGATTCAGTCGTCTCCATGTGGTCCCTTCTGAGGTATCGACCCGATCGCACTCGTAGCTTTCGCCGCAACTCCAAACTGGAACAACAGCGTGTGCATAACAACCTACAGCATTGATACTTCTGGTGTCTGAAACTGTAGTTGACTCTGTTAGCCTGTCTTTTCTGATCCCACACTTGCCTAGTGTGGAGTGCTCCAGAAGTTTTCGAATATAAGTCCTGTGTTTTTCGGATACCCGGACTTGTGAGACTAACTATTACCCAAAGGTGATATCCAAGAAGGATGTTTATTAGGTTTTGTGATCGACGAGGAAATGTGCGAACGCCAGATGGTCTCCGAAATTCGATGTTAAAATAGTTTTTTGGTGAAAGTATCATCCGCCAAAAGGCTTTTTCTTCAGGTACCTTCGGATAAGATCAGTGATAACAGGCTCATGGACGTGCAGTTACTAACCTCACCACTTTCAGTCCGAGTGAGGGAATTGAGATTTTTAAGCGTCTTACATATCTTGGAAGTCTTATTAGCACCGGTTGCACTGTGACAGATGCAGTCAGTGTGCGCGTCTCCAAAGCTCGCATCAAGTCTCTTGATCCGATTTAGCTAAGGCAAACAATCGGCCTGTCACTGAACGAATATATCAGACCTCCAGCAAGTGCGGGTTATATTGTTGAATGTTTGTGTGAATTGGGTTCCGCGAGACGTCTTCAGGTCTTTTTAAGTCAACATCTCAGACCCATAGCTCAGATGGGCTGGTGTGAATGAATCCGCAGCAAGAGAACTGGAAAATTATTTTCCGTCGAGCGACAAGAACCTCAGTCGAAGAATATGTTCATCACCTGACGCTGCGGTGGTTTGGCCATAAATGCGGGAGCTGAGTCACATGAATGAAGCATGAAAAAGGTACCATTAGACAAAATAACTGTCCAGATACAACACTGTTTGATAGTTGACCTGAGAAGGTGGTAAGAAAATCATATGCAATGGAGTCCATGCGATAATTCGTGCGCTTTTCTACATAAAAATTTAACTACCAAGTTTTCTTGTTTGCAGTTTCCGTCCAGATTGCCTTAATGGAAGGAGGTGTCGGCATCGCAGAATGCCTACGACAGGAAATTTTAACACAGGTTCTCTCTTCTCTCTTGCGTTCCCTTCCTTTCTTAACAGCAAGCCTTGTCCAACACTGATGATGGTGGTTTTCAGTGGACTAGTTCTGTTTGTGACAATCGTGACAACCTGCGTTTAGATCGACTTCAGACTGAATCGTACCTGATAGAGAACGTTGCTATGTACTCTCAATATCCCTTAAGAAAGACGCTTTAAATGCAACTGCTATAAAAATTTGTACCAATGGAAACGACATTTTGCTTCGCATTTTCAATATCCCCTTAGTGTACATAAAGTGAAATAGGGGTGATGTAGTGAGGTGGTAGCTGACGGGACAATCGTGTAGTGCATTACTAGCCATCTGGACGATAATTTGAGACCAACCGTTCGTGCTATCAATGCCTTTTACATGAGTAATCCGTGCGTTTCTTAAACGGATTCTATTCTGATGCATTTGTAACTCATTCGCATGAACATCGCGTGGCTGGGAGATGCAGACTAGTTCGTAGTGAACATCTTTCTCCTCGGTTGTCCACATTACTCAAACATTTGGACATAAATAGGGTTACTTGCAGGTGCCATTGTAAGGTTTAGCGTAATTCATTGACAACCCAATGCCCCTTTTAACATGTCTGTGGATAGTAGATTTCAATCACTCTGTTCATGCCACGTCTAGCTTTTGGACGCTATTGTCACTATCCGGCTGTAAACCATATAACATGAGTAATTTGGTTCGAGCTGCCACTTTTGCCGGGAAATGCTTAAATAAGGAGCGAACTAACAGGCACCAGTGGAGATGACCCAACCAGCTCACTTGCCGTGAGTCATTCTACAGCTACGTTATAAAGACTATAGCTATGCTACAGAAATTCCATCGGCCGCATCGATGAATTGTCAGTTCTAATGACCACTTGTATACTGCGTACAGAGGCTCCCATCTGGAGAAGTAACAGCTGTTTACTGGACTAAGTTTCCTGGCAACGGCTTCGATGGTTCGGTTTTGAGTCATAAGCAGTGCATTATTTGGCCGTTTTCACTCCCCGCATGGCTGAGTAAAACGGATGATGCGAAACGAATTGCCCTCTGAGTGAAACGTATATTACCTAATACGCGCTCCTCTGTCGCGAGGGAACTCCTTCCAAAACTGATGCCATCATGATGCCTGGTAGAAACCGACGATCTGATACACGTCCACCACAGTTGCAATTTATCTTTATACCAAACCGATGTGAAACTTAGTGAGCTTCTGGTGAATCATGACTAATCTACTATACTAATTCAAACGTATTTATTCCCTTTGATCTGTCATAAAATCTGTCTTTTCATTCCTCGGTTGACTCCTACACAAACAGACTTTGTTTCACCTAAAGTAATGCTTCATTTATATCAATTCATCCTCTTTCATTTGAATGACGAATGGTTGCACGTGATAAGAGTCACGATACTTTTCATTTCTCCTTCCCGGTTCATCCATCCAGCCCAACTCTTTTTAGACCCTCTTCATAGCAGGTCTTGTTCACTGGAAGTGAACTCTAGTCTTCAGTCGGTTTTATGAAAATATATTCAACTAGCGTTTGATTTCCAGTTCTATTATCCATTGCTTCATTGACGCCAATCCCCAGTTCGATATACATGGGTTGTTCGATGCGTTCACTTTCTCAAACGGGATTTCTCAGGATGGACGGCCTGATTACGGATTATGATTTATTCCCCCAAAACCATCTCTTTCAAGTAACCGGGGAACAGCCAGTCTAACCCTTATGACTGTTTGAAATTTGGTTTCCACTGATGTGGTTCCAGATTGGATCAACCAGTTGTTGACTTAAACTAGTGATTATCACTCGGCAGTCGGCGTTAGTCGCATAGCGACTCTCGTACCCCCTATCGGATAGAGTTTGCTCTGTCATCTCTAGGAACTTTTTCGTTAAGAAATCACCACACCGAAGTTCCATCAATTCATTCGCATACATATGGCAGTTGATTGGTTGCGGGCACATTTGTACAATGGTCAAGGGTGCGATCTCTGCACTCGCACACTAAGAAAACTCTTACTTGAGATGAAGAGTACCTCGTTCGAACCTTTGCTGCGCTCTGATTTATTTATTTATTAGGCAGAACCTCTTAATCCGTGATACGATAGCTCGATTAAAACCAATCCATTTTTGAATGAAGATCAGAAGTCTTTTGTTGAAAGACAGGAGGAATTTCTAAAAGGAGCATCTCGGAGATTTATCGGAACCTGCATGTTTTTGGCGGACACACGGCTCCATGGCTTAGATTTTTATCTGGATGAAATGCGACTGTAACACTGTATGGATATGAAATGTACTCAAAGAAATAAACGTCTACTCAATAATCATCCCGATACTCGGGGTGTCGAAATGTGTTTCGAGATCGTTCATCAGGCAGGCCTAGCCCCGAATTTCCTCCATGGCTATTTCTAAACTGGATCTCAAGCTACACCCTTCGTAGAGTTGTGCCCTCGTGTACAAATTAAATTGTCATTAAATTCTCAGTGACGGGAGTATGTGCCGCGTCTTTGAAGCGGGGATATCCCACAATGGAGGTCAGTTCAGTTTTCCAGAAGCGCTTTCTCTACTGAATGACTTTTATTGTGTTGAGAAATTAAGCTATGTAAATCCGCGAGCGAGAGTGGAGGCATTTTACATTGTTTTATTTCACAACTGAATTTTTCATTGGCACAAAAACCAAAACTTAAATCACTGGAATCTTTTACTCTGAACAAAAGTGGTACGTCTTCTGCAACAAACGTAATAGAAACAAGCAGTTTTTACTCGATGAGAAGCTTAAGTGTTGAGGTCTCTCAATTCGAATGTGGAATATCAATACCTCTGTCCAAATTCCTGGGCATGATCACTTAACAGAGCTCCCTTAAAGGAGCCATACCAAAGAAAGTGCTGTGGGGTACGATCGTTCGGTTTTTTCACGAATGAGCTAATATATATGAACCTTATTTTTGTTTGTTTGTATCAGGAAACATTCAGACGATTTATCTCTGTTGTTCGAGTTCACTGCTTATGTTTTTGAGGCCTCGGCAACTATATTTTCTTAGTAGAGAGTCGCTTTAACCACCCCTCTTTTATTTCTTACAGAAAATGATCATAATCGGAATTTGCGTTGCCATTCTTGTCTGCATCATCGTGGGCACTATTGTTGGGATGCTTCCTGGCGTTTAGTGTCCCATTCTGACAAACGAATGACCACCCGTGTGTAATAATATCTGTCTCGGAAACACTCAGCATCTGGGATCGTCAGCAGACATCACCTCTGTCGCTGGTATCATTCCAATAGAGCAGAAGTCACCTGCTTTCCATTGTTCCAGCTATATATGCATATATATTTCCTCCGTCGTTCCCTCTTCCCATTGTTCACAACTACATTCTTCCATTGCGGAATCACCCGTGAAATGGAAGTCACTCCTTGTTCTTGGCAACATCCCGTCCAAATTCTCATTTCTTGCAAGGCTACTAGTGTACATCAACATGTCTAACGCCATAGGTTATTTCTACTTTGATCAACGCGTTTTCTCCACGTCTATTACTCTATTACTGTATTGGTCCTTCTTCAGAAGCAACCAAATGTGCTCCGCAAACCCTCTTTTTTCATTTATTCTCTTCTACCATCTTCAAACGGTTTCAAGCGTTTGGTAAAAATATTTAGATGAGAAAACATCTTCAGCCCTTGGAGCGAAACGAACTTCTACTCTTTCTTTAACTTACTATCTACTACGTATGACCAAGATTTCTCTCTGTCTCTCACACTAACCGACTATGCTAGCATCTGAGCAGTAATCTGCTTTCGCTTGCCTTTTTCTTCTGGTGTGTAATACACAATACTTAACTCCGTCCGCAGCTCCTTCACCTCATCAGCGTCGTGTTGAGAGGCAAAAAAACCATATTATTCACTCACAACCTGGTGCATCCCACAAGCCATTCACCATACCCTAAACATCAAAGACCCGATGAAATTCATGGGGATGGGACCTATTTCCTATTTGCCCAATAAGCACTTGTGCATATATTTATACATATATACTTACATCCTTACTCACTGAATAATATCGATGTTCCTCTCAAATGATGATAGTTTTGCAGTCCTACATTATCTACTGAAGGACCTTCATGAGAAGACGGCTTGGCAAGTTTGCTTTTCCTTATTCAACCATTCTTGGTATCCAACTCAGTTCCGTTATCTGTTTATATCTTCATTTAGTTTCTTGTCTCGTTACATTCCTGTAATTTACCTGGTTAATTGTTTCTAGGTGTTCTGTGTATGAGATGTTCAATTCCTGATTGTTTATCCACTTGTAGCCCGTTAATGGCAGATAATCGACACAGAGTGAACGTGATTTCGGATTGAACACACTCTCACCTAGTTCAGAGGACTACACTTGGTCCTCCCACTTCGGTTATGCACACAAACGTACAGTTTGGTAATTTGTAAATGACATTCGTTACATTTCCTTCCTGATCCCAGCTTCCTTGATTTCCTCCATCGCTCGATCTTGGTTGTTCGTTTTGGTTTCTACCTTCTCCAACTTGCGGCAAATTCTTAATAAACATTGTTTTATAATTTCAAAAATTACTGGTTTGAAGGAAAGTTTGACTTTTGTTATCGTATTGTACTCTCTAGTGAGTGTGTCACAGTTACCCGTTTTCCGCTAATTACAAATAGGAAATCGATAATATCTTTTCTGAGCGAGCACAGGGTAGAGTATATCGGGTATACAGTTTCCGCTTCCAAATCAATTTTCTCCCCAAATTTGGAAATGTGGTATTTGGTAGTGGGCGAATCACGCTGCGGCTGTCAGATCAATCGCAGCAACAAATTATCTGACAGAATCCAGTGCATGACCATTCTGATAACATACGTGCGACTAAGCACACTTTAGTCCAAAACAAACGGTCGCTTTGATTGAATTTAATCCTGATTCCAGAAAACGCCCCCATAATTTTGTTCACTCCGGTGCTTCATTGCATCTCAGTCCAATTTGGGACATTCTTCCTTTGGACTGGTTAAAACTTGTTTTTCATAAACATTCACGCTTAGGTGTGAGCACTTCGATACATGTGGCTTTCGGTGCTTGAAGACAGCCTGAGGTCTTGCGTTTTCATAGGTATCTGGTGGGCGAGCTTCAGAACTGAGAATCTTTTGACATGGATGACGAAATAGCATTTCTGTCAATACGGTTGTTGCGCTTTTAGCGGCGTATCCAAAATAAACGATGCGACATACCGATTTCCGCCCATCGGTTGTTGCATGTCATTGTTCTGATTCATTTTTCTGGACGAACAAATGGAGGAAAAGGGGGTAATTTTTGTCACTGAAAGATGCTGCACATAGAACCTTCACATTTAAGGAAACGTCCCCGGAACTGTCACGGTAGATTATCGGCGAATCAGTAATTGTCATAAATGAGGGAGTTATCAGTTTAATTTGTTAAATTGAATAGTTTAAACTATAGTATACAATAACAAGTTGGGCATTCGCTCCGATTTAGCATGTCTCAACAAACTACCTTAATGGGCCGCTACAAACAAGAGATAATGCTTCATTCGACTTCGCTGAGCTACATATGCACTCCTTAAACGCCCTGTACTCGGTGTAAGCCGGAGTGAATGAAACAATACAGCGGAGTTCAGTGAAATACAGTGAAATGCGCTCAAGTTAAATACGTCCAAATAGTGGCCTAAATTTTGAATTCTTCTAAGTATGGCTGAGCAGCTGAGACCAACAATGACTGAAAGAATGGTGTGCGCTAATCAGAGGAGCGCGCAAATGACTGACTAGTGTTCCCTATTGTTCGATTTGTTCGGTCATATATAATATTATGTATAATATATAACATAATATTACATATGACCGGACAAATCGAATAATAGTTAGTACTAGTCAGTTATTTGCGCGCTCTTATGCTTAGTGCTTATAACCTGCCATAAAATCCTCAGTCTTCCGGAGTGTTGAGTATAGTATGATGTTTTAGGCGACTGTGCATGACCGGTATACAGATCGAAATGAGTTAAAGACACGATATGCATGTGTCTGGTGTGTCTCGTGCATGCACTGTGGATTACTTTGTTTCACTTGTACATTCTTGCATTAATAGGTATTGGCCACCAGTTGTTCATCCTGTTTGTTTCGAAACTACTCACCTTTGTTTTTTTGGAGGTCTTATTCACTCGGGTTTGCACCGGGCACATGGTGTTCAGTGGGGAGCACAAGTGCGCCAGGACTTTTAGTATAACCCTCGTGCATGGCGTAGTTCAATGTGGCATACTATTTAGGAAACGAATGCCTTCCCCCATGGATTGTCGCTGTTTACAACGAAATTGCTCATTTCATTGGATAGATGAAAATACGTTACTTAAAAGACCCACCTTGCGGGTGGAATATAGACTGCCAATATGTGCGCTGCATTTTTCAAAGCTTTCTCTCAGTGCTTTCTCAAGACTCCGTTGTATGCAGTATTGATTCTTTTACCACGGGCTCTTTTGTGAGAAATTCATGGTGGAATGGGCTACCACTCTTCCCAATGGGAATGCTGAACTGAAGTGGAGTGAATTACCTGAAATCATCGCCTCCAACCTGAATGTATAAATATTATACGCCGAATTACGCATAACCTCTTCCTGAACTGCCACAAGGGGATGCAGTTTTTACGCACCGCTAACCTGTAGTGTCGGTGGATTTAGTTAGTTCCTGCCTTTCTCCTCTTAAACCATAGGAAACCCCCTTAGGTTTCTGTTTCGTAGCTTTCAGGGCCGACATCCGTTGGAAGATGACACCAGCTAAACCAGCTTTCACGGGGTCTTGTTCTTCCACCATGAATGCTGAAGGTTTGTCGTCTTTTTGTTTCCGTCACAATGACTGTGCTCACTTTCACAGTTTCAAATTCAGATACATTAGTCAGTGGTGTAGTTAGCTCACATGAAATTACTCCACTCGCTCTAATTACTCATCCAGCTCACGTGCTATGACTGCTTAAATGATGCTTCCTAAGTTGTTTTGCCTTATCATCACAATAATTTCATCTTGTAAGTAGCAAGGAAATTTCGGAGTCCGGACATCAACCCACTGAGCTCAGATGCTACTTGTTGAGGAACATCGTACCATTGTTTATTCCTTGTTTGGAACCAGCAGCATTGTGCATCCTCTAAATCAGCACACCATCCATTCGTAAAACTGGACATTCAGAATATCCTCCAACCGTCTGAGACTGCCACACGGGATTGTGTTCTTTTTGCCACCGACGTATGCAGATCATCATAACTGTGGGATATGATACACTATTTAGTTGCAGCTTTCTATGAATAAGGTAAACAATAAGGTAAACAACTGCAACTGACATTAGCTGAGTACAATCAAAAGCTGAGCCTCACAAACACAAAATTTAATCTGGACACATCCCTCCAGCATGGGTGACTGAAACCTACGACGTTGATACTTCAAGCATTCGTTAGTCGCGTGCGAGTGGAGTACTGTGCTCACTGATTTTGCGCACTGCTCATACGCGGATCGGAAGAAAGCGGTATACGTTGTCAGTNATTCCAATCTCTGAGTATTTAGTAATCGTCGCAGACACTAAGCAGAGGTTGCCTACACAAAGCTACTCGCAGTTCTAAAAATAGCTTCAGTTACAGCCTTTCAGGAACTTAACAAAACTAACATTTTGCTTCCTTAAAAAGGAAAAAAGGGATATCACAATGTCTCAGTTAAGCTTTGACGAGGATTTTACCAATAATCTACACTACTGACGTTGATACGGCTAATTGGATTTCTTAGAATGTACTCGAAAACTGCATTGCAAGTTCGCAAAAATGTAAGATCGCTTCTAACGGCTGCTCCACGAGACAAATATACGGTGAGTAACTATTCGTATTCATAAATCAGCGTTCAATGATGGTTGGCTGATTAGTCAAAACTGAGCCAAAGTAAATCGTATCAGTGGCACAAACTTACGGGCTTGTTGACTGGACAAGAATCTACCGATCCGAAGTGATCGACGACTTGACTTTTATTCATTCAACCTTGTGAATGGTGCGCTGAAAATCTGGGCTTTCGTGTTCGCACGAACAGCTAACCTGTGCGTAACATATTCAGAGAGAGATGATCTAATTTGAAAAAGCTGCTTCGTTTTGTTGGAACTCACCTACACTTGACTATCTGTTCTGATTTTCATGGCATTTTTTCACTTATCTTGTGCATGGCCCCATAGAGTGTCAAAAGTTTCATACAGTCCAAGTGTTTTAGGAAAACTTTCTTTAGCCTGGCTGTCCGGGAATACTCATCAAATATATCTGTTATTGTCAACCTTGAGTAGCACGAAATCTAATTCCTATCGGTGTGTTGTGTTCCGACAAAAACTCCGTCGATTGGGACGCATACGAAAATTGCGGCTTTCCAAACACAAAGAGAGCGAATTTCATTTGCAACAGGTTTTTGTTGTTCACTTTTCGTTTAGCTGAGTCGGTCCTTTTCATTAGTTGATGTGACGGTTACACGCAAATACAGATCGAAGTCACGCGACTCAGCTATGAATTGATAAGAGCTACAAGAAGCTGATACTTGTGGTTATGCATCAAATATCTGGGGCAGTTATCACCCTGCAGATCAATGTAAATTTTTCTACCACGAAGAGATATAACATGCATAAAAAAATCCTAGTCAAAATTTATGGATCCAGCTTGATTACGAAACGCGTCTAAATTTTTTCCCAACTAGGGGATTTGACTGTAACAAGTATATAAATCCTGGAGTTCGTTTTGCTTGGGTTGCTATTTCTTGATTAGGTTATGCATTATGAAGATATTAAGAATCACTATTGTCACGAAAAGATTGGACCGTGGTGTGACGGTTTGTGTACCTCATCGATCCATTGAGCTGTACTTGGTGTCCCCGAGACTAGGGGTCTCTAATACCAGGTTGGTCAATGGTCAGAGGTCTGACAAACTCAGTCTCCCGGTCCTCCAGGTTGGGAGATGGAACATGGGGTGAATCGTTTCGTAGAAATCGTAAAGCACGTGCATTTCCCGCCAAACACCACTGCCTTGCGGTTAGGCTTTCGAGCCAAAGGCTTTGATTGAGGACCCTAATTGTCCTCCTAATCATCCTAGTCGTACAGCTCTGATATGGTTGTACGGTGGCAAAGCATCGGTGTTGAACACTGATGTCCCGCTGTCCATGATGATGATGATGATAATAATGAATAGCCACTACTATAGTACTTCTGTTCTTTACTAAAGCTCCATTCAAGACATCTTGCGGAAGTGAGCAACTGTGACGATCAACACTGTCCTTACAGTGAGATAATAATACTCTCAGTTTACCGAAAATCCCCATCTAAAAAACCTCGTGAAACAGATATCAATCTTAGCCTTTGTAAGTCCTAGATGAGCGCAAAATCATCTACTAATGGGACGGGGACTCTTCATCCTCAGTAGAACAGCAATTCAAGGGTGTGTACTTCTCATGAACTGAGTAGATGGCAAATTTGTTACTGAGTTCGCTCCTGTTTGGACTATTGATTAAAGCAAAAGAAACCGATTCCGCTCATCCGTACAGGCCAGAACACGATGAGCGACTGTCAGTTTGTAATTGACTGCACACTCTACATCAACGGTTCACCCCGCAATCTGAAGTGTT